CATGTCCTCCTCCAGGGGATCTTACCAACCCAGGTCTCCCACACTGCAGGCAGATTCTTTACCATCTGAACCACCAGGGAAGCCCAAGAATACTGGAGTGGGTAGCCTATCCCTTCTCCAGGAGTTCTTCCCAACCCAGGGATTGAACCAGGGTCTCCTGCATTGCAGGCAGATTCTTTACCAGCTGAGCTACTCTGGAAGCCCCTTGTAATTGTATAGGGGTGGGCAAAATGGGTGAAGATGATCAAGAGGTACAAATGGCAAGTTATAAAGTAGCTAAGTCCTAGGGATGCAAAGTACAGCATGGTGACGCTAGTTAATACTGCACTGTGTATTTGAAAGTTTCTAAGAGATTTTACAAGATTTTATAAGCCTTTATAAGTTCTTATCACAAAAGTAAAGCATTTGAAATGATGTGTGGTATTAAATACTAATTAGACACTATGGTGATTGTTTTGCAAGGTATATGAATATCAAATCATGTTGTACACCTAAAACTACTACAATATTATATATGTATGTCATTATACATCAGAATATAATAATAATAGAAATACAATGCACAATAAATGTTATGCACTTGAAAGTGAAAATGTTAGTCGCTCAGTCATGTCCAACTGTTTGTGACCCTTTGGACTGTAGTCTGCCAGGCTCCTCTGTCCATGGAATTCTCCAGGCAAGAATACTGGAATGGGTGGCCATTCCGTTCATCCAGGGGAATCTCCCTGACCAGGGATCGAACCCAGGTCTCCTGGGTTGCAGGCGGATTCTTTACCATCTGAGCCATAGGAGAAGACAAGCAATACTGGAATGGGTAGTCTATCCCTTCTCCAGGGGATCTTCCTGACCCAAGGATCGAACCCAGGTCTCCCACATTGCAGGCAGATTCTTTACAGAATGAACCAGCGGGGAAGCCTCATGCCCCAAACCATGCTCACCCCTGCCCCACCCAGGTCCAGGAAAAATTGTTTCTCATGAAACCAGTCGCTGGTGTCAGAAAGATTGGGGAATTAGATAGACATGGCCCCTGCTTATGAAAGTTCATTGTCCAGAAAGAAGAGACAGACCACAGGCCATGCACATGACATAGGAAAGGAAATGGAAAACAGAAGGGAACTTGGGCAGGAAGGGCTGCACAGACACGCAAGAGGGGTCCTGGAAGGCTGGTGAGGGTGACAGCATTGTTTGGTCTGAAACCAAAGCTTCTGCACCCAACCACTACACAGAACTCCCAAACCACTTCCTTACCGCCCACTTACCCTTTAACCTTTCAGTTGTGGTCTCTCAAGCATTGACTAGAGGAAGAATAATTAGATTCTTGTACTTCACCCCACTTCCTAGGTTCAGAGAATCTGCCTTCCAAGGCAGGAGACACAGGAGATGTGGGTTCAATCCCTGGGCTGGGAAGATCCCCTGGAAGAGGAAATGGTCACCTGCTTCAGTCTTCTTGCCTGGGAAAATCCTGTGGACAAAGGAGCCTGGTGGGCTACAGTCCGCAGGATCTCAAAGAATTGGACAGGACTGAACACACACTCCATACTTCAGACCTACTGAATCAGAAGCTATGTGGGTGGGGTCTTGCATTCCATGTTTTAACTAGCCTTCCAGGTAGTTCTGACAAATGTTAGTTTGAGAACCACTGATCATATGTCAGAATGTTCAAAGAGTACAGGTGCTTAAAATAAATAACATGTTAGGCGTAAGGATGCTGTGCTGTGCTAAGTCGCTCAGCTGTGTGTGATTCTTTGTGACCCCATGAACTGTAGCCCGCCAGGCTCCTCTGCCCATGGGGATTCTCCAGGCAAGAATACTGGAGCGGGTTGCATGCCCTCCTCCAGGGGATCTTTCCAACCCAGGAATCGAACCCAGGTCTCTCACATCACAGGCGGATTCTTTACTCTCTGAGCCACCAGGGAAGCCCAAGGTATACGATGGTTCTTGGCAAAACAGAGAGCTGGAGCCCTCCTCCAGGGCACGGCCTCTGGTCATCTCCAGGCATTTCTTGCAACGAGGAAACCCAGCTCCAGTGTTGACAGATATTTAGAATTTTTGAGAGATGAACACATGTTAAATTTTTCTCTTAATTCATCTCACTGAAGAACCTGGTGAGATGTTACAACCAGTTCAAAGGCGAATCCAAAGACAGACCCATTTGAAGATCAGGAACATTGAAATGAATCTGCAAAATGGAAGCAAAGCTGTTTTTTCCACAGGAAGAGGGTTGTGTCTTCCAAGGACAGAATCATTTGCTTGTCCATAGAAAAGAATAATTTTCCATTGCTTTCAGTTACGTACAGTTTATGGGGATGTAAAATAATTCCCAGACTTCCCAGGTGGTGCTAGTGGTAAAGAACCCACCTGCCAATGCAGGAAAGGTAAGAGACTCCAGTTCGAGTCCTGGGTTGGGAAGATCCCCTGGAGGCGGAAACGGTAACTCATTCCAGTACTCTTGCCTGGAGAATCCCATGGACAGAGGAGCCTGGCAGCTACAGTCCATGNTACCAAGGGACTCTCAAGAGTCTTCTCCAACATGACAGTGCAAAAGCATCAATTCTTCGGCACTCAGCTTTCTTTATAGTCCAACTCTCACATCCACACATGGCTACTGGAAAAACCATAGCTTTGACTAGACAGACCTTTGTTGGCAAAGTAATGTCTCTGCTTTTTAATATACTGTCTTGCTGAGAAGCGACTTAGCACACATGCAAAATAATTCCCAGGCCCCAAATCAGATATCAGAGGGTGTGCTGTGGACAACGTATTGTTGTTCAATCACTCAGTTGTGTCTGACCCTTTGTAACCCCATGGACTGCACTCACCAGGCCTCCCTGTCCTTCACTATCTCCCAGAGCTTGCTCATGTCCGTTGAATCAGTGATGCCATTCAACCATCTCATCCTCTGTCGTCCCCTTCTCCTCCCTTCAATCTTTCCCAGCATCAGGATCTTTTCCAATGAGTTGGCCCTTTGCATCAGGTGGCCAAAGTATTGTAGCCCCACATCAGTCCTTCTAATGAACATTCAGGGTTGGTTTCCTTTACAATTGACTGGTTTGATCTTGCAGTCCAAAGGACAATATATAGTTTTCATTAATTTTGTACAAAATTTCCCTGATATGAATAATGCTATAGATTGAATTCAAATTCACATGCTAAAAAAAAAACAAAACAAATTCACATGCTGAAGTGTTAATGTCCATGTGATGGTATTTGAGGTGGGTGCTGTGGGAGGTAATTAGGCTTAGTTGTGGTCCTGAGGGTGCATCCCTCATGATGGGATTAGTGCCCTAAAAGGAAATGATCAGAGTGTGCTGTCTCTCCACCCTGTGAGCACAAGAAAGCAGCATTCTGCAAACCTGGAAGCAGGTTGTCAACAGCACCTTGATCTTGGACTTGCCAGCCTCCAGTGGGAAATAAACATCTGTTGTTTAGGCCACTCAACCTTTAGTATTTTGTTGTATCAGTCCAAGTTTACTAAGACAGGTAACAACTGTATAATTTTCATATAGAAAGGTGCTACAGGCAACAATCTGTGAGATGGAGATGTGTGTGGCTGGATCTATTTTGAAGCTAACATAGCACAGCAAATATAGTTTGAAACTTATATTGTGTGTTTATTTGGGGCAGGGATGGGACCTAAATTCCTATGGACACATGCATGCTAAGTCACTTCCGTCATGTCTGACTCTGTGACCCTATGGACTGTAGCGTGCCAAGCTCCTTTATCCATGACATTCTCCAGACAAGAATACTGGAGTGGGTTGCCATGCCTTCATCCAGGGGATCTTCCCAACCCAGGGATTGAACCTGCGTCTCATGTCTTCTGCATTCGCAGGTGGATTCTTTTAGCACCACCTTAGAAGACCCTAAATTCCTATAGCGACCTCTTATTGCTTCCACTGTTCATCTGGCCATTCAACAAGTATTTATCAGTACTGGTGTGCCAGGCACGACCCTAGGTAAGTGGAGACATGGAAGTGTACAAAGTTCCTGCCTGTATTAGTGGGGTGAAGCAGGTAATGGAGTACAGAGCACTTGAGCTTCGAAGGAAAACTACCCATTATGTAGAAAGCACACCTTTCCAGTGCCTAGCCTTTCCTTCACTGTCCTAGAGATGTCTTACAACTCTGTTAGTTGTAGATAACTGACAGCTATGCAAATAATTCTTGCCTATAAACATGCAAACTGGGGAGTTCCCTAGTGGCCCTAGTGGTTAGGACTCCAGGCTTCCACTGCAGCGGGCTGGCATTGGATCTCTGGTCAGGGAACTAAGATCCTTGTAAATCTCACCGAGAGGCCTTAAATGAAAAGGTAAAAAGCTAATGAATAAATATATAAAATGCAAATTAACTGAGCTACTTTTATGTCTATTCGCACATCTGTTGCAACATTCCTTTATTCTGTATAAATTTGCCCTTTTCCTGACTTCTGTTTTGAACGGATTGTGACTCTGCTTGGTTCCCTCATTTAATTACCGTTAAATACTTAACATGTGTTCATTTTATAATGAATGAGAATCGTGACTTTTTTTTGTGGCGGTGGAGGGTGGTGGTGGCGATTATCCTTTGACACAGTGAGTAAGTGCCTAGCACGCTCATGGTGTATTCTGGAGAAAATAGAGTACAGATATATAGGTGGTAGTCCGGAAAGACCGTCCGGAATAAAAATGCTAGAGAATTTGTTATCTGAGACCCAGATTAACGGGGCTCCCTCTATTTTTCTGGCAGGACTTGCGAGGTTGACTTGGCGAATTCTGATCTGGTTGCGAGTCTGGATAACCAGCCCGCGAGGCCGCCTAGCGCTGAGTAGAAGGCTTTCGGCGAGGCTGAGCCCACCTGCCGTGGCCTGCGCGGAGGCGGAACCTGATCGGTGGGCGTGGCCACACAGGCTCCGCCCCGTCACGTGCCGGCCTTCGCCTGCCGCGTCGGCAGCCCCGGAACGCTGCAGACGCCGGCGGCTGAAGCGCAGGGGCGGCCTCGGCCTCGGCGGCGGGGGCTGGGCCCATGGCGACGGCGACGGCGGTGGCGGCGGGGGCCGGGGCCGCGGCGGGAGCTGAGTCGGCCGAGGGGCCCCGGGGGCCGACGCCGGCGCTGGAGCTATGGCTCAGTGAGTAGCCGGGGCCGCCTCTCCGCTCGGGCGCAGCGCTCCACGTGAGGCCTCGCTTCCCGCCTCCCCGGGCCTTTCTTCTGAGGCTGGCGGGCGGGCAGGTGGCCTCGGGGAGGCTGGCGCCCGAGGAGGGAGGCAGGGCCCGGCACGGCTGGGAGGATCTCATTGGGGGCCCTGGAGAGGAACCCGAGGAATCTGCCGCGGGTGCGGACCCGAGGCTGGGCGCTCTGCGCCCCCCTGCCCCCATCGCGGTGCATAAACACTGTTAACAACATAATGGCTACGGTTTATTGAGCTTCGCTTTTATGCCAAACACTGCTAAAGGGCATTTCAGCCACTGTTAATCCTTATTACGACCCCTAGAGACAGCTTCGGTTACTAACCTCATTTATAGAGATAGGTACTTTTAGACTTATCTGTGCAACACACCCATCCTCTGGGAAAGGACTCTCTCTGGCTCCCGACTTTAATGTAAAAGAAGCTCTTTAAACCTTTTGTGCGAGTTCCTTCTGGCCGGACTTTTGTTATTGTCTCATGTAAGACTCATGACAGTCCTAGGGGTAGTTACTGTCCCTGCGTTACCGATGGGGTCTTGAAATTCCAAGAGAATAAAGCATATACTCCTTGTATAGGGCTCTACCGGGAGCTGGGAGTACTAAGATGCGTAAGGCAGAGCCCTTGCTCACAACGATATATTTAAGTAGGTTATAGAAGCCAATAGTAGCAGCAGTTTGTTACGTTAAGGCAAATGGGAGGGATACTATGGTTTAAGGTACAGTGTTGGAGTTGCTTTGTTTACGAGGGGATTGTCTCGAGGGACATAGCATTTGAGTGGACAATGGAGGCGATAACATTTCAGATGCAGGAAACTGCTTGTGTAAAAGCTGGGGGAAAGGAGAGTGTGGAGCATTCTGGGAAGAAGGAAGTCTGCCGCAGGAGTGCAAAGCCTAAAGAGACTGCATGGCTTATTGGGGTGAGATCTTCAAGGGTCTTGTGGGCTGCAGAAAGAAGTTCACTTGTTCTTAGCCAAAACGCTGAGAAGTGATCAGAAAGTTCAGAGTTTACCTTGATGTAGTCGGGAGGAGATGTCAGAGCCTGGAACTCTGATCAAGTGTGCATGAATGCTCAGTCTTGCCTCACTCTTTTGCGACCTCGTGGGCTGTAGCCCGCCAGGCTCCTCTGTCCATGGGATTTCCCAGGCAAGAATACTGGAGTGGTTTTCTATTTCCTACTCCAGAGGATCTTCCTGACTGTCTCCTGCACAAGCAGGCGGATTCTTTACCGCTGTGCCACCTGGGAAGCCTCTCTGATCAAGTACCTCTGTTAAAAGCATCGCCTTGCAGCTATGTGAAGAGCTGAATTAGTTAGGGATGGGAGAGTCCAGGCAGAGAGCAGATGAAAAGCTCTTCTGGTAGTGTGTCGGGGCTGAAGTACAAAGGTATTGGGATGGAGAGTAGAAATAATTAGCTAGTTGGATCAGCAGCCTTAATGCAATAGGATAGAGGCAGGGGACCAGAGGGATCTAGGTTGGATTGCAGGTTTCTGGCTTAGGTAACTGACTGGTTACAGTTGCTTCACTTGTGGAGTTTACGGTGCTTGTGGCACAGAGAGACGCTCTCTGGGCAGTTGGTTGGCTCCAGAGAGGGTAAGAACTGGAGGTCAGCTTGAGACCTTCAGTTCATTAGCAGTGAGCTTGTCTATGTGCATTAGGAAGAACAGAGTTTGCACATGGAGCATGGAGAATCTCAACATGGAAGAAGCAGGGTTCGGGGAGGGGGATGCTGGGTGGGAAGGCAGCACTGAGCGAGAAGGCGGAGCCTACAGACTGCTGGGAGGCGGGGAGCCGCAGGTCTCTACGGAAGGTATAGTTGGTAGGTGGTTTTGCTGCTGAGAAAGAGAAGGAAGATGGGGGAACTTTGGCAACTGAAAGATTACTGAGTTATCTCAGTGTTAAACGGTGGGGACAGAAAGAAGGTGGTTGACTAGGAAGCAGTGGAGTTGCAAAAGTCACATGGGCTGGGTTAGAGACCAGCCAGCCGCTGACCCAGGTGGGGGAGAAGAAGGGAACTAAGACTGTTTAGGAGGGGGTCCTCAAGCACCAGCTGTTTTAGGTCATTGTCATCCTAAAGTGCTGCAATCTTCCAGTTGTTCGGGTAGGGCTGGAACCTATACCAACAGCACAGACCCCCTTCCCAGTCCGGCAACCAAAAACGCCTCCAGACATTCCCAGATATGCCCTGGGACAGAGGGCCCACCTCTTCCCCTCTGCCCCGAGATCCTCTGAGTTTGGGCTTTGGAGTGTTGAGTGGGTTTCAGAAATGTATCTTGTAGTCTTTGTGGTTGTTCGGTTTCTACCTCCCTGCTCTAGGAACAGAGAAACTGTTGAACCAGACTTGTGGGTGCTGGGGCGCAGTGGAGGTGGTACGTGGATGGACATGCGCTAGAGAGGCTGGTGGTGGGGGAAGGACTGGAGTGTAGTTGAAGGAAAGTCCCTGAGTCTAGGCTGGATGGAGAAGGAAGTCAGTCCAGGGGCCCATGAAGACCCCAGAGCTCATCTCACTGACGGGTCTTAGCTCAGCAAGCAAGGCACCTGTGTCCCTAAGGCTGGAATGTAATAGCATGCCCCCCTCTGTGGCTCAGATGGTAAAATATCTGCCTGCAATGCGTAAGACTCAGGTTCAATCCCTGGGTCAGGAAGATCCCCTGGAAATGGAAATGGCAACTCACTCCAGTATTCTTGCCTGGAGAATCCCATGGACAGAGGAGCCTGGTGGGCTACAGTCCGTGGGGTCTTAAAGAGTCAAACACGCCTGAGCGACTGACAGCTTGGGGTTGTGAGGATCAGGGGAGTTCGTGCATCTAAAGTAGGCGGCACAGTGTTAGCTGTTACCATCACTAGTCTTCCTAGTGAGAGTGGCAGAAAACGAACTCATACTGTTTGCCAGAAAAGGAAAAACATCGGACCTAGAATTGGGAAGGAGTAGTTCCCCAGAGGAACGCCAGGAACCTGTTTCACCAGAAGCTCAAGCTTTAAAAATACAAGTAGCAGCTTCTGGGCGTTTTGCAGCAGCGCCCCCCCCCCCGTCCCCCACCACTTAGTTTATTTTGGGCGTTGTTCCACATGACTGCATTTAGAGCTGCCACCTCCTTGTTAATGAAAAGCCTCCTGTGCCCGGTGGCACGGGGTGCTATACTCGATTTAACCAGCGGAGTCTGAGCTATTAACAGCAGCACTGGGGCCTCTTGGTCTCAGCTCTGCTGGTGCTGCCAGGGAGGCACTAGCTTAGCTGGATGCTCTGTGATCTTCTCCATCTACTTGGACCTCCTCCCAGATGATAAGTCCTGTCTTCCAGCCTCACTTTTCTGCCTCCCTCGGGGATGAGAGTGGTTTGGATTTCGGATCTATTTATATTCTCCCAGCTTCTCTAGGACTGAGCTGCTTCTTTATCTTGGACCCATCATTCCTATGGTGGATCTTGGCCTTTCAGCAGTGCTTGATGTCAGGGTTGGTGTGTACCTGCCCCACACAGTGAGCAGTGCATACTCACTGCTGGAGGATTGAGTTCTGAGTGTTCTCAAGGTGACTGCTTCCCCACAGCTCCAGGGCTCCCCTGACTGGCACAGGCTGCTCTTAAGCCAGGGTCATGACCCTGGGGGTGGGGTGGTGGCTGACATGAGATGATTTGGCTTTTGAATTAGTCACTGTTAGATGAACCATTCAGGAATTCCCTGACGGTCCAGTGGTTGGGATTTAGTGCTTTCCCCACTGTGACCTGGGTTCAGTCCCTGGTCGGGGAACTTGAGATTCTGCAGGCTCGCAGCAGGCTCCCTAACCTCCCTGCCCCAGCCCCGGGGTCGGGGGGCATTTCACTCAGAGCTGGAGGGCTCGGCTGTCTTCTTTTTTTTTTTTTAATTTAAAAAAATTTTTAAATTTTAAAAAATCCTCTGGGAATTATTGTCTCTGGACCTGCTCAAGGCCACTGAAATAGCTTGGCAGGATGGGATTAGGCATTTGGAGACCCAGTTATTTCAGAACTGGAGTAGCCATCTCCTGGTGTCAGCAGTATGTCCAACCAACTGGCCAGACTTCTTGTAGTGAAAGATGAGTCATCCGTTCATGAGTAGATATCCTTGCTGATGACTGTCTAGGCTTGAGTGTGGGAAGGTGAATGAGACAGGCCTCCTTCCTGCCTTAGGGAGCTGATAACTTAGTGGTAAAAAGGTCAAAGAACCTAGTTCCCAAAAGAGGCCCTGTCTTTGTCAGAGAACTGAAGACTTATATTTGGGCCCTGGAATTGGGCAGACTTGAGATTTTTTATCATTTTCCTGTTTTGTGACTGGGCAGATTTCTTCATCTATAAAATGCTGAGCTAACATTAGTACCAGCTTCAGTTTTCTGAGGATTACAGGAAAGGGATGCTAGGAAAGCACTCAGCGTCATGTCTGACACAAAGCAAGTTCTTAAAAAACAAAGTGTGTGTGGGGGGGGGAGCAGCAGCTCTGACTATTATTGTTGTTATTTGGGAGCTGTGAAAAACCTTGAGGGAACCCTTATGATATAGATATAGCAAATAAAAACGCTTACTCTATAGTGCTTTTTGCTGCTTTGCCTTGGTTATGGGTTTAGAACATTATTTAAGCTTGTAAAGTTTTTTATTCCCTTCCTTCCTTTGGAAAACCTGGTGACTTGGTGGTAGGGGAGGAGGGAGAGAGCTGGATTCTTCTTGGTAAACAGGGTCGTACTTGCTCTTCTCTGCCACTGGGTCCCCAACCCCCGGGCCACAAACCGGTACTGGTCAGGTTGCGGCAAGTAAGGAACCAGGCTGCACAGTAGGAGGTGAACGGCGGGTGAGCGAGTGAAGCTTCATCTGTTAATATATTTACAGCTGCTCCCCATCATCATTACTGCTTGAGCTCCCCCTCCTGTTGGATTAGTGGTGGTATGAGATTCTCATATGGGTGCAGACGGTAAATGTAACGCCTTTGAATTATCCTGAAAGCACCTCCCCCACCCCACCCCCTCCTCATCTATGGAAAGATTATTTTCCATGAAACGTTTCCGCAAAACGTTGGGGAACTGCTGTCACAAAGTCGTGTGTTGAGGTCTGAAAGTCTTTTAGGTGTCAAGCTTGACCTTGTCGTGAACTGAAGCTTTATGAAGTTTTAATGATACAGAAAGAAGTAGTTCAGATGAGTCAGATCTCCTTTTTTCATTAATTTTTATTGGAGTCTAGTTGCTTTACAGTGTTGTGTGAGTTTCTGCTGCAGCCAAGTGAATCAGTTACGCATGTACATATATCCTCTCTTTAGATTTCCTTCCCTTTAGGTCACCACAGAGCATTGAGTTAGAGGTCCCTGTATGGTAGAGTCAGATCTCCTTAATCAGGCTCTTGAGCGTCACTGCTTTCAGTTTATTTTCTGAGTAATTATTTTGAGCCTATGCCTAAGGCACTGTACCAAGCATTATAGGAAGCATAGTGCTTCTACCTTTGTCTTGAACAGACTTGAAGTTTAAGTGTACTAAGTTGTGTACATATTTTTGTGTGTGTGTGTACATATTTTTAAAGGAAAACACAGAGACTGTTACAAGATTGTCTGTCTTTTATTGATTACTTAATGTTTGCTGCTACACTGAGTATTTCAGACACTATCTTTTTTTTTAAGATTCATTCATTTATTTGTTACACTGGGCCTTCATTGCTGCTTGCAGGCTTTCTCTAGTTGTGGAGCTACTCTGGTCGCGGTGCATGGACCTCTCGTTGCAGGGGCTTCTCTTGTGGCGGGGCTTGGGCTCGAGGTGCATAGGCTTCAGTGCTTGCAGGATGTGAACTCAGTAGTTGTAGGCAGATGGAGTCCTAACCAGTAGACCACCAGGGAAGCCCTAGACACTGTCTTTTAAAAATCTCATGACTATCCCACACGGAAGGTACCGTTTTCCTTATTTTATAGTTGAGGAAACTGGGGCTCTGAGAGCCCAATGGCATGTAGCTAATAAAGGATGGAGCTGGAGATCCCCATCCTGAAAGAGCAGGTAGGATGTGGGTCTTCTGAGATGGAAGAGATGGCTTCTGTTTTGTGGGTGGGGGTGGGTGATAGAAAGATTAAGAAAGTCCTTATGAAGTGGCATTTGAATTGGGATTCGAAGGGTGAATAGCATTTTGAGAGGTGGAACATAGAGAAAGCGCTTTGAGGAGGAAAAAGGTGAGGAGCATGGGGAAGTTGATAACCTGATTCCTTTGCTCTTTGTTGTTGCCTCTGTTCACTTAGGGTGGGGCTGGTGGTGGGAAGGTGGGGGATTGAGTACCTGTCCTTTGAATCTCATTGTTGAGCTAGGGGCACACGATTTCCCCGGGACATAAAAGTGACTACTGTCTGGAAAGGTAAACTCTAGTTGACTGTGGAGTCTTTTTTTTTTAATTTTAATTATTTATTTTTGGCTGTGCTGGGTCTTCCTTGCTGCATGAGCACGTTCACTAGTTGTGGTGAGTAGGGGCTGCTCCTCAGTTGCAGCGTGCAGACTTCTCATTGCGGTGACTGCCCTTGTCGCGGGGAACAGGCTTTAAGTCCATGGACTTCCTGGTTGTGGTTCCTGGGCTCTAGAACACAATCTCAGTAGTTGCACAGGCTTAGTTTCTCTGCAGCATGTGGGATCTTCCTGGACCAGGGATCGAACCTGTTTCCCCTGCACTGGGAGGTGGATTCTTAATCACTGGACCACCAGGAAAGCCCCTGTAGACTCTTAAGTAATCAGAAGGGAGGAGAATTAGTCAGGGCTGGAACAGTGGAGGAGGCTTTTGGGAGCAGATGGAGATTCAGAATGACCTTGGGAATGGATAGAGAAGAGAGAAGTGGACATTCAGGCAAAAGGAATAGTGTCAGAAGTATGACCATAAGAATTACTTACTTGCAGAGTTTGAAAGAGCTTCTCTGTCAGGACCACTAAGAAGTTTCATTGGAGAGGCGGGTGGTCCAGGATAAGCTGGACAGTGGGGAGTAGGGGAAATGTTATGAAAGGGCAGGACAAACACAGTCTCAGCAACTACTTTATGAGAGTGTGGCTTGTTTCAGTAGGAAGGCTGGGCCTATGGAATGGGCATCCTTGCTGGGACAGGGATTCTAGGCGGCAGCAGTGGGAGGGGAGGAAGAAGCTGCTACCATCTAGGACCAGGAAAGAGTCACACAAAGATTCCAGGAACTCAGGGATTGCCCCACCCCCCAGTGGAGTGTGGGCTCACCTTAGGCCTTCTGATAAGCCCCCTTTCTCCAGGTGTTTCCTGCTCTGGGCTGTGCCCTGGTACGCTTCATGCTGCATATCCTGATTTCATACAAATAGCAGTGTTCAGTGGGGGAGACCCTGGTGTGACTGGATCTGGGTTCCTTGGGCATATGTGTATGGTAGCAGAGAGAAACGGCATTCTGAGGACCAAAGGCAAGGAGGTCCTCTTGTCAGACAGGATAAGCCCCTGATGTGGAGAAGCTGCTTAGGTAGGACAAAGGATTGCAGTGAGTGGAGGCTCAGGTTTCAGCCTGTTACTTCGGGGATATGGTGGGAGCTGCTCAGGGCTTCACTGTAAGTTCTGGTCTTCCTGTCACATGGCTGAGAAGCTTCCAGGTTCTTGGCGTTCCCTGGTGGTCCAGTGGTTAAGAATCCGCCTGCCAGTGCAGGGAACATGAGTTCAATCCTTGCTCCGGAAAGATTCCACATGCCGTGGAGCAGCCAAGCCCACATGCTGCATCTTGAGAAAGCCCAGTGCAGCCAAAAAGATGAAAATAAAAAATAAAAAAGAACCTTGCAGGTTGTGGCCTATGCATAGATGCTGGCCTGTGCCTGTCCTTGTTGCAGGGCCGTGGTGGGGGGCCAACACGGGCATGAAGAAGGTGCACGTAAGCCAGCACCTGCACTAGGAATGGAGCCCCTTTCAGGACAGTAGCTTGTTAACTGGTTTGCTCGTTCATGCGGTCAGCAGTCCCTGAGTCATGGGCCATACCTGTGCCTGACAATGATGAGTACGGTGGACCCCCACTCCCCCCCAGCTGTCTGCTTTGCTGGGTCCCATCCTCAGGAAGTATGATATCACAGTCCTTGGCTCTTGTCCTATTCGAGGGGTGGAGATGTGGAGAGGTGTGTATTTTTTATTATCCTTTATTATCCTTCAGTTTTACTTTTTATTTCCTTGACAGATAAAGCCACAGACCCAAGCATGTCAGAACAGGATTGGTCAGCTATCCAGAATTTCTGTGACCAAGTGAACACTGATCCCAATGGGTAAGGTGACATCACACACACACCCTGCACCTACGGGCACCTCAAACTGTGCGTGCCTGTGTTTCTCAGGACTGTTTTACATAGCTCAGGCTTTGTTTCTTTTTTCCTCCCTCCATGATCTATTGAGTATGTTATTTTTCTAGAAATTGCAAATTTATGTAGTTTTCCTAAAAAAAAAATAAAGTTTGTAACACAATTATTTTAAAATTTTAAAATAATTTTTATGAAACTTTACTGCTGAGGAGCTCTCTGAATGTTAGGGATAGAATGTAGCCAGGGTACATAGTAATGTGAAAGATCGGTATGCTCTTATTAAAAATTTTTTTTTATTTGAAGATTATACTATATTTAGCAGCATGTGTCTGAATGTCCCTTTCAGAGCCACAGTAGATGCTTTTGTTGTTGTTTAGTCACTAAGTTGTGTCTGATTCTTTTTCGACCCCATGTAGCGCACCAGGCTCCTCTCTTCATAGGATTTCCCAGGCAAAAACACTGGAGTGGATTGCCATTTTTTTTCTCCAGGGGATCTTCCCGACCCACGGATTAAACCTGCATCTCCTGCATTGCAGGCGAACTCTTTACTACTGAGCCACCAGGGAAGCTTGTTAAGCTAATTTAAATACAGTCTTTTTTTTAAGAAAAAGCAGAGGAAGAGAGGTGAAGATTTTATTGAATTTGGTTTCTGAAGTGTCTGAATGGGAACTTTTTTCCCCACCTATTTTTTGGCCATGAAGCACAGCCTGCAGGATCTCAGTTCCCCAATCAGGGATCAAACTGCCCCTGCATTTGGGAGTGTGGTGTCTTAACCACTGGACCACCAGGGAAGCCCCCTGGATAGGAACATAAGAAATGAGTCAGTTATCCAAATATTTTATCTCCATGTTGCTGAATATTCATTTTGAAAGGAACAGGAAGTTTGATTACATTTTCTGCTCCAGGGTTGACTGAGCAGTTCTCAAATGACAAATAGGGTCTGTGCTGCTTGAGACCAAGTTACATACAGGTCTGGGAGCTGTAGGGGTAGGTGGACTGGGGAGAGGATGGTGTGTTCTGGAAGCGTAGCTGTGAGATGTGGGGGTGGCTGGGAGCCGACCTCCTTCGGGGGCTCATGCATGGTCATGTGCAATCACATCCCATCTCTGCTCTGGGACCCAAGCTCCTGGGGGAGAGGGGAATTGACCGAGCACGCTCAGCCAGACCAATTAGTATGTTCCTCTCTGCTCAGAGTCTTTGTTTTCCCTTAGCTCAACCCATGCACCCTGGCTGCTGGCCCACAAGATCCAGTCTCCGCAAGAGAAAGAAGCTCTTTATGCCTTAACGGTGAGTTTGGCTTGCCCCTTAGCCTTAGCTCTCCTGTCCCAAGGCTAGCATTTCAGTGTGGGAAAGAGCCTCTGAGAGGGTCACCTTCCCTGGCCTTGAGAAAGCAGGCTAGAGGGAGTTCTGGGCTCAGATTGCCCCATTCTAGATCTGTTCCTGGAGAGTAGCAGGAAGGAAAGGAAGGCTTTATTTCCTTTTGCCTTTGTTAGACCAGGGCTGGCAAGGTCAAGTGCCCTCAGGACCAGACTGGTGACATAAGTGAGTGAGCCACCTACCGGGGGAACCAAAGAGCCAGAGAGACCATGTCCAGTCTAAAGAGGGCAGCTACACAGCAGGACCTGCTGGCTATTGCTAGGGATGAGTTTGGGCCCACTGTTGCTAGAACTTCCTGTTTAAGAGAAACCGGAAATCCAGATGAAGTCTCAGAATTTTTCCGTATCAGTGACTGATTTGAAGTGTTAATGGTGTGGACCAGAGAAAACATTTACAGGCCCAATTTGTCACTGGAATGCCAGCAGGTAACCCATAGTTTGACAGTTCTTGAGTATTCCATGTCTGATTTCTGCCTCTAAAAGAAAGAAGTGATTCTCTGACCAGTTTCACCTGCCCAAAGGGTCTCCATGAAAGGTGGGGTGACCTCAGAGTCCCCCACCGAGTGGTTTCCTGGGCACAAACCTGTCAGTTACAACAAGAGCAAGCAAGTGCTTTTTTACTTAATCTGAAAGTCTCACCCTTTCTCCCAAACTTTAGTGTCCTCAGTCTTGAGCCATGGTTCCAGGTTTGGAATGAGCTCTGGAGCCGATGGCTTCCCCTTCTCACGGGGGTCCTGTGTCTGTGCAGGTGCTGGAGACATGTGTGAACCACTGTGGGGAGAAGTTCCACAACGAGGTGGCCAAGTTCCGCTTCCTGAACGAGCTCATCAAAGTGCTGTCCCCAAAGGTGAGCGCCCTGGGCCTGACCCCGCTCTGTGCCACCCACTGTGGGTGTCACTAAGACCTCACAGTTTAAGAGCTCGGCCCTACCTAGACTACGTCCACTTCAGACACCCGTCATGTGTCTCGGGGATCCCCAGGCTACTTGCACTTCTGCCCGACCGGCTACTAGTTCAGAGGTTCCTCTGACCCTCTCTGCCAGGTTGCCTAATTCACTGGATGAAAAGATTCACAGAACTATACAGGAAAGCACTATACTTAATAATACCCGTTTATTTTAAAGGATATAAATGAGACACATAGGCCAAGATCTTGAGGGTGAAGGGGGAACCATTTCCGCATGCTATATCCTGTGGAGCCTGAGCACACCACCCTCCCAGCACATCTTACGTTCAACCAGAAAGGTCTCTGGACCTGGTGGTTTTTATTTGGAGTTACCTGGGCACTATTGAGTTAATCAGTGGCCACATGGTTGAACTCAACCTCCCTCCTCTTACGGGGGTCAGGATGGGGCTGAAAGTTCCAATTCTCTAATCACATGGTCAGTCCCTCCCTTGAAACTAGGTGTCTACCAGGAATGTTTAGCATAAGCTTGGGTATAGTCCCTGGGGGGGACTTGTAAGTAACAAAGACCTTTCTATCACTTAGGAAATTCCAAGGGTCTTTGAAGTTCTGTGTCAGGAGGAACTGAGGAGAAGGGTCACATATTTTGGAAACTATATATATAAGTATTCTTTTATTTATGAGGATTAATCCTTTTATTGATTTTAAGAGGATCTTTCATTAGTAGTGGTAGTATTGATTTCCGCCTGTGCTGTGTCTTGGCTGTGGCGAGCAGGGGCTCCTCTCTGCTTGCGATATGCGCACATCTCATTGTGGGGCTCCTCTCGTTGCAGAGCACGGGCTCCAGGGCGGGCAGGCTTCAGTAGTTGCATCGTGTGAGCTCAGTCATTGTGGCTCACGGGCTTAGTTGCCCCGTGGCATGTGGGATCTTCCCTGGGCAGGGATCAAACCCGTGTTCCGTGCATCAGTGGGCAGATTCTTAACCGCTGGACCACCAGGGATTTCCTAAGAGGATCTTTTAAGAAATAATGATTCAAAACATTTTGAGTTTCAGCAATTCCTTTCACTTTACCTTATTTTCATTCCAAATATGTTTTTACTCTACACTCAAAAAAATGAGTGCCCCCAGTGGCTCTAACCTAGGCCAATATATGGTGGGGTTTAATTTTAGTGGCTTTGGAGGTTGACTCCTTGAAGCCCAGAAAGTGTGCTGGGGCTGGGTGCCAGATAATTTGTCCTATCTCTGTGCCTCACCTCTCAACCAACCTTGAGTGGTTTGCTTCTCAGCTGCCATCTCTTCGGTGATACTGTGGGCTGAGCAGTCTACTAATGAAACTGCCCAGCTCAGATGGGATTTGAACGCATCCAAAACTTAGATTGAGACTTGAACCTGTGGGCTGGGATTAAAACCCACTGTCTCTCTCTTTTTTTTATTTTTAAATTTGACTGCACCAGCTCTTAGCTGCGGCATGTGGAATCTAGTTCCCTGACTGGGGATAGAACTCAGGCCCCTTGCATTGGGAGCATGGAGCCTTAGCTGCTGGACCACCAGAGAAGCCCCCACAATCCGGACTTACTGAAGCTCAGGTTCTTTTTGTTTGTTTTAATTTTTTTTACACCAAAAACATTTTGTAATGAGGTATACCTGGTTAACAATGTTGTGAGAGTCTCAGGTGAACAGCAGAGGGACTCAGCCCTACATATGCATGCATCCATTCTCCCCGAAACCCCACTCTCATCTGAGCTGCCACACGACGTTGTGAAGCTCAGGTTCTTCATGTCTCAGCACAGTAGGGATTCAGCAAGAGGCAAAGTATAGCTAAGTAGATTTATTAATATAGAATGCTTGTGAGGGTTGCAAGTGGGCAGGCAAGGGGGTTCTGTCCTGAGAACTAAGTGGGAAAACAGATTTGTTTGTAGAGAGATGCATTCCATAGATAGAATGCAGGCTTGTCTCAGAAGATGAGAGCAGCCCTTAAATATGGGGTAGTTTTTATGGGGTCAGTAATTTCATAGAGTAACAAGTGGGAGGATTAGTCCAACTATTTTACGAAAGGCGGGGTAGAGATTTCCAGGAATTGGGCCACTATTCTCTTTTTGTCCTTTTATGGTCAGGCTTGGGACTGTCATGGCTGTGTGTGTCGTTAGCTGATGTATTACAGTGAGCGTGTAATAAAGCTCAAGGTCTACTAGAAATCGAATCTTACCACCATCTTGCACCTAATCACTTCTGACCAGCTTATGTTGTGTCCTGAACATCTGTGTCATTCTTTGAAGGTTATGTCCTGCCACCCTCTCCTGTCTCACTAAGGCCCTTCAGCTCAGTAATTCCCTTTCCTTTTTATCTTCAGTACCTAGGCTCCTGGGCTACAGAAAAAGTTAAAGGAAGAATCATTGAAATACTCTTCAGTTGGACAGTCTGGTTTCCAGAGGACATCAAGATCCGAGATGCTTATCAGATGCTAAAGAAACAAGGTCTGACTGCATTGCGTTCCCGTCCCACAGTGGTGGTTCCTTCTTGCTTTTCGGTACAGTTTGTCATTTTTGGGGTGAAAGCTGGAGATCTTGTGTCCGGTCGATACAGTAACCGAGGCTGATGCAAGTCATTTCAATCCCTGGAAGTGGGCAAGCCTTTCCTCTGGTTAGCAGGAGGCGGGGTTTCCCTGATAGCTTAGTTAGTAAAGAATCAGCCTGTAGAGCAGGAGCCCCCGGTCCAGTTCCCGGGCCAGGAAGGTCCGCTGGAGAAGGATAGTCTACCCACTCCAGGGTCCTTGGGTTTCCCTTGTGGCTCAGCGGGTAAAGATTCAGCAGGAGCTGAGCTGGGTTTGAGCTGGTTGTTGCTGTAGTTACCCTTACTATACAGGTTTCAGATTCCTTTGGTGTTGGCTTGTGTTTGAGGTGGGAGCTGATCGCCTAGAGAGTTTCTCGCAGCATCTACTCTGCTCTCAGCTTTGGGTCTTCCTCTTGCTCTGCATCTCAGAAGAGTTCTTATTCCATTGCCTGTCCTGACAGTAGACCCTTATTACTTGTTCCTTGATGCCCTTTGCCTGGTGCTGGTGGTAGTTCTGTTCTGATTAAGCCTCGGTCTTAGGAAGGCCTGTGTCCCTGGTCCTGGAGGGACTTGTTTGTGATCCTGTTCCACCCCATCTCGGGCTGGGGCCAGGACATGTTGCCGTCCCTCCCCCGGGGGTGCAGGCTTTTCTGTTCTTTTTTTCCAGCTGCCATAGGTTTTCACCACTCTTCTAAGGACTGCAGGTGTGTTGTCCTTCCCCCGGCAGTGTGAGGCTTCTCTCTGGGGAGAGAAGGATTTCGGTGGGCCCTCAGGCCTTTCCCATTCTCTTTTTGTGACGCCCTTGGAGAATGAGCCTGTTCCTCTTGTGAAGCGAGCTCTAGAGTGTGTTCTGGGAGTCCACGTTCCTTTTCTCTCAGGCTCTGTGGGAGGAACCGGATTTAGGATGGGCTATTTTCTTTTTTCCCCTGTCACGTGCGCCCAGTATTTTTATGAGCATCAAAGATCCTGCACTAATTTCTGGGCCCTGAGGGGTTGTGTACCTGCATAAAGTGGTCAGTATTTGTACAGTGTGGGGACCATAGACTGCTGGTCTCAGGGTCTGCCTCTCCTCTGAGCATCCCCGGCTTGGGATTCTCCCAGGAGAGGATGCAGAGCCTTGATCACGCCCTGGGTGTTTCCCTTTAAGGTCGCTGACAGTGTCTTCCTGTTGGGAGATCAGGAACCAGGGGTTTCTGGACTTTATACTGGATCCTGCTGAAGTCAGCAAGTATTTATATCAGCATATCCATGAATTGGATCTTTTTAGGAATCATAAAGCAAGACCCTAAACTTCCAGTGGATAAAATCTTGCCCCCACCTTCTCCCTGGCCCAAGAGCTCCATCTTTGATGCTGATGAAGAAAAGTCAAAGGTAAGGAGCTTCTGCCTGACCGCGGAGGCCGACCTGGAGTCTCCGCCGACCTCTTCTTGGAGGGACTCCTCTCCAGTACCCTCTGATCTGAACTGGCATGTGGGGAGGTGGGGTGAGTTCTCTGGAGCAGAGAGAGGCGTCGTAGGGTCTGTATGTCTTCTTCACGGACAGGTCAAATAAGTGACCTGTTCTTTGGGTCTTCCACCTTATCTGTTCAGTGTTCCCAAGGGAAAAAAGGTACAAAAGGCCAACCCTAGTGGGTAGTGTGGGGGGTCGGTCATATCCAGAGTGTGTGTGGTGTTGGGGGAGGGGAGTGGGGAGGAAAGCATGGGTTGCACGTTGGCTCAGATCAAAAGAAAAAGTGTCCATAAGGCCGATGTCACCCGTTTTCCTTCCGTTCCTGCCTCCCAGTATTGCTGCTCCTCAGACATCATTAAGGACAGGGGAAGGAAAAGCAAGGTGGTCCAAACCTAGGCCAAGACTCGGAGATAACTCCAGGGTACCTCCGAAAGGTGGCAGTGCTTTTGGTCATTACTGTTCTTGGTCGCTGACAAGGTCTGGCGAGTATAGGACCAGGAAGACTGTAGTCCGAGGATGGGTCTCTTCCGGTACCCTCTGCCTTCCAGTCGCACCTGTCAGCTGTCCTCTTCCCTTGGATCTAGGTGCTCGCTGTGGGCAGGATGAGCAGTGCCGTGCTAGGTTCTGGGCAGCTTTCTCTCTGGCTCCCCTCCTGTGGGGGCCTCAGAAGGAGCAGGGGAGTAGGTGTGGCATGGACTCCTGAGAAAGTCAGTCTGGTGTCAGCTTGGGCCAGCTGCTTAGACTCTGCGGTGCTCAGAAAGATGGCTGTCCGTCTTTCTTGCCATCCATCCAGTGAAGAGTGAGTGCATGGCAGGCATTCTGCTAGGCATTGGGAACAATGCGGATGAGATTCTCGAGGTCTCTCACATCAGAGTATGTGGTCTAAGGCTGCCTCAGCACTGCTGACGTTGTGGGCCAGTTAACTTCCTTGTTGGGGGCTGTCACGCACTGTGAGGTGGGGTGTATAGGTGTCCCTGACCTCTACCCTCTGGATGTCAGTACTGCCCCCAGTTGTGACCACCAACAATGTCTGCAGACTTGGCCAGATGTCTCCTGGGACATCCATGTCCACTCCCCATTGAAACACCAGTGTTCTTTGGGAAATGTCACAATTGTCACGATCATTAAATTATTGCGTCATCGTGAGGATTTGGTAAGGTAATGCGTTTAAATGTGCGAGCTGTTGTGACGAGTAATTCTGCTGTTGCTGGTGCTATTGCTCTGGGCCATCTGACCCGGGGAATTAATTTCACCGAGTCTTGTTCTCTCTCCAGCTTTTGACAAGGCTTCTGAAGAGCAACCATCCTGAGGATCTTCAGGCTGCAAACCGGCTGATCAAGAATTTAGTCAAGGAGGTGGGCATTTTCTAGGGGCTTCTGCAGAACCAGCATTTGAGAGGGGCTGGATACTATAGGGAAATCCCCTGCAGGAGGACATGGAAACCCACTCCAGTATTCTTGCCTGGAGAATCCTATGGACAGAGGAACCTGGTGGGCTACAGTCCATGGGGTTTCAAAGAGTCGGACACAGCTGAAGCAACTTGGCAGCAGGGACACTGTGTGTGTGTGTGTGTGTGTGAGTGATTGAGGGTGGGGGGCACAGGGGGCACGTTAGCTGGAAGAAGAGACAGCCGCCTAGCCCTGACACTGTGTGTGAGTGTGTGAGTGATTGAGGGTGGGGGGCACAGGGGGCACGTTAGCTGGAAGAAGAGACAGCCGCCTAGCCCTGACACTGTGTGTGAGTGTGTGAGTGATTGAGGGTGGGGGGCACAGGGGGCACGTTAGCTGGAAGAAGAGACAGCCGCCTAGCCCTGACACTGTGTGTGTGTGTGAGTGTGTGAGTGATTGAGGGTGGGGGGCACAGGGGGCATGTTAGCTGGAAGAAGAGACAGCTGCCTCGCCCTGAACCAGGGAACAGCTGTGAGCTCCCTGAAGGGCAGCACGGTGGTGCCTAGAAGCAGAAACTTCTGTGTGCTTCCAAGTACTTCTGTCCAAGAGCTCAAAGCATTTCACAGACCCCAGTTTCTGTCTCAGTGACCAGTGTTGGTGTGGAAAGAATCCAGGTGTGGGAATTTCCTTTCCAGAGGGATAGAGGCTGGTGATAGAGTGGACACGTGCTCCCCATTGTCTGTCCCAGGAATTCCAGACCTTGAGCATCTTCTTGCCCGCTGAGTGAACGCTCCACCCACTCAGTGTTTTGGAGGCTTCCCTGAGCTTTGCACAGTACAGCATGCCTCTCCCGGTGCACATTCAAGCTTTATCCAGAGCATCTGTCCCTCACTTCATCCTCTTTCTCCCGAAAGGAACAAGAAAAATCAGAAAAGGTGTCCAAGAGGGTCAGTGCTGTGGAGGAAGTTCGGAGCCATGTGAAGGTGCTGCAGGAAATGCTGAGCACGTACCGCAGGCCAGGGCAGGCCCCGCCAGACCAGGCGGCCTTGCAGGTACTCTTCAAAAACAAAGTCGGGAAGGACTGAGTATGACTGACATACTAAGAATATGCACAGATTTCAAGAAGCCCTCACACAGTCAAAATAATGAGCGTGTTCCTCACCCCCTCAAGCTTCCTCATTCTCCTCCTCCTGTTCCTCCTCCTCTCCCAAGCAACTGCTGGTTTGTTTTTTCCCTTCTAGTTAGTTTGGGGCTTCCCAGGTGGCATTAGTGGTGAAGAATCCACCTGCCAATGCAAGAGATGCCGGGGACACATGTTCCGTCCCTAGGTCGGGAAGATCCCCTGGAGGAGGAAGTGGCAACCCACTCCAGTATTCTTGCCTGGAAAATTCCACGGACAGTAGAACCTGGCAGGCTACAGTCCATGGGGCTGCAAAGAGTTGGACACGCCTGAGAAAGACTGCTGATTAATTTACATTTCTTAGACTCTTATATAAATGGAATGATACAGTATTCCACCCCTGCCTTTTTTGTGGGGTGGTTAGGTTCCCTCCTTTGGAGAAACTGTGGTTTGCATGTACCACAATATGCATATCCATTCGTCTGTTGATGGGTGTTTGGGTTGCTTGCAGCTTCAGGTGATTGTGCTGCTCTAAACATTTGTGTTCAGAACCGTTTTGTGTGAACATACGTTTTCCTTTCTCTTGGGTAAACGCCTCAATGTGGGATTGCTAGGTCATATGCTGGATGTATAGTCAACTTTTTAAAAAGTGCCAGAGTGGTTGTATCATTTTATGTTTGTGACAGCAGTGTTTCAGAGTTCCCATTTCTCCACATTTACACATCTTGAGATCCTTCTTTTTTTATAACGCACTTACTGAGAGTTTTATGTAACAAACTGTGTTTTTTAGGTCGTGTATGAGAGGTGTGAAAAGCTGCGGCCCACCCTATTCCGGCTGGCGAGTGACACCACGGACGACGATGAGGCGCTCGGTACTGTTTTATCCTCTAGGCGTAGACCGCGCACTCCGCAGAGTGTAGGACCCGCGTGGGGCTCTCTAACTGCCGTGGGGCTTCCTCTGTGCTGCTGACGTGGAAACTCGACGGTGGCTTCTAGGTGTTCCAGTGGTTGTGCTTGGGGATGGCATGGCCTGAGTTGATTCTTGTAATTTTCGGAGGAATCTAGGCTTGAGCAAGAAGTGAGCAGCAGGTCTGCAAGCATAGGAAAGGGTGGAGGTTTACCATGTCAGTTGGGTGTGAAGGGGGTAGAAGGAAGAGCAGCTCCCACGGAAGACTTGCAGAAAGACTGACCTCTGAGAGGTCTGAGAAGCAGCTGCGAGGGGCATGTCTGGGAGATTTCACACCCAGCATGACTTCAGGGGCTGGGTTGGGAGCCTCAGCAAGGTGGTCAGTATGGAGTGAAAAGCACATGGAAGAACTATAATCCTGTACACAAGTATAGAAATGGTTGAAGCTTTTTATTTAATGGAAGATCTCGGAATGCATAAAAGGGATTCTACTCCATGTCCTCTTCCCTTTTGTTCACAGTTACCAGCTCACAGTCAGTCTTGATCTTGTTTTACCTGTACTGCACTCTCCCTCTGTCCTCCCCCTCCCCACACCCCCAGATCTGTTTTTAAGCAAATTCCAAACATTTCGGAGTAATCTATCAGTGTTCAGATTTTCCTGGGCTTTTCTGTCTCTAATCATCTCTTGCTGACGCTTTTTTTTTAAGTTTTAAATCAGAACCAGAAAGGAAAACCATGCTTGGTATTTAAGTGGCTAGCCTCCTGTTGTTGTTTTTTTAATTTCATGCATGAAAAACATGTCCTTTGACTTACAGAGTTTCTCTTGGTCTCAGTTTTCTCATGGCATCTCCCATGGTGTTTAATGTTCCTCCATTCCTGATATTTCTGAAATTCCTGATTTCTTATCAATTGAATCAGGAGGCTTGTTCAGATTCAGGTTCAAATGAAGGTGTGTGGGGAAGGAACAAGAATACATCAAAGGTGATGTTATGAGGCCCATGGTGTCTGGTTTTTTGGGGTTTTTTAATGATGTAATTATTCAAAGCCTGTTATTTTCACTGGTTGCAGTGAAGTCAAAATGAAATTTAAAACACCTTGCACATGCCAAATACAACATTCAGCCTCTTGTTTGTTCACTTCCATTCAGTTTAAAAATTGATAGGAAATTAATAGTTGGTCACTCTTGAAGGCTTTTCCTAGCATGGTGGCCTGCAGTGTTACAGCCCCTGCCCCTGTTGCTATTCTCTCTCTCCCAGGAGAGATTTTCTTGCAGGTAAACCAGACCATGAGATACCCTTGACATTTTTGAAATCCACTGCATTTTTTATTTGGATGTTTCAGTTTGGATATCCAATTTTCATCAGGAATGCTTGATCTGTATTTAGATTTTATGAAATTTACAGGTGAAAAAGTAGATTCATGTACCAAATTGTTCCTTACAGACTTTCCAATGACTGAATAAAGTCCCAGAAATGTCTTTTAATATTTGCATATTGACGAAGGAGCTTTAAGTTTAAATTTTAAATTAAAACGAAGTTAAAGATTTAGTTCCTCATTTGAAAGGACCGTATTTCAAGGGTTGGCTGTCACATTGGGCAGAACAGACCAAGAAAGTACAAAGATTTGGTTCCTCCTCCAACTTGAGAAGGAAGCGTCCAGCGATTGAGTGACTGGGTCTGCCAGGGGCGTGATCTTATGACCTGCGGGCAGGAGGCATGGCCATACTGAACCTGGTAGAGCTGTGTGGTTGCCGCTTTGTGGATGGCTTAAAAAGCCTGAGATTGTTGGTTGCTCATCGGGGGATTCTGATTTTTCTCTCGTTCTTCAGCGGAGATTCTCCAGGCAAATGACCTCCTCACCCAGGGAGTTCTGCTGTACAAACAGGTGATGGAGGGCCGTGTCACCTTCGGGAACACAGTGGCCAGCTCTGTGGGAGACATACCTGTGTCCAGAGGTATGTGCAGAGAGCCTCTTCCGCCCTCTGCCTTGGGGTGGCCTGCAAATCCCGGCAAAGAACTGACTCCTCGGAACATTCTGGGCTATGGTGTAGATATGAGAGCACACACCCTCTCTTCCCTTTCCCTTGAGAACTGGTTTTATGTAGCCAGCCTCTGCCCCACATGCCATCACGGATTGACTGCTGGGCAGCAACTAGCTTTTAAACAGAAGTGTGTGGCTATTCTGTGCCCAGGTTCAGATTGTGCCTCTCGTGAGTGCTTACTTAGGGGAGCTATGCACCAAAGAAGATTGACCATCAGTGGCTCCTAGTGCCAGGCTAGCTAAGTCAGAATCGGTCTATAACAGTGGTTGAAATGCAGATTCTTAGACCTTTCTGAACCAAGATTACCTGGAGCTAGGCCCCAAATTTTTATCAAGCACTCGAGATGATTCTTATAAGCTGTGGTCAAGATCTCAAAGGTCTCTGAGCTGGAGCAGTCTGCTCTGCTACTGTCCTGGTTGGATGGACCATCAGAGGATTCTGTGATGGTGGGGATGGGAAGGCAGTTCCTCTGGCTGCCTCGTATTTCAGATGCCACTCGAGGGTGTGAGTCAAGCCAGTCCGTGGAGGTGGAAGGTTCTTCAGGGGTGTGCTAAGGGGGGACCGTGTGATGTCTTTTGATTGGGAGGAGGCCTGAGGGAAGTGGAGCCTTCACTCATTTATTTTTCTGTTTTCTAGTCTTTCAGAATCCAACAGGCTGCATGAAGAACTGCCCCCTGATTGACCTGGAGGACAATGGGTCTGAGCAGGCTGGGACAGTGGCGCCGTCTTTACTGCATCAGGACCTGGCAGCCTTAGGTAAGGGTACTGTCTGAGGGGAGCCAGCACAGAATGGTCCTGACTCCCAGGGAGAGAGCAAGCCCATTCCCTTTGAGGAGTGTATGCCTGTTTTTAGAAAGAATTGGGTTATACTGGGAAGTTCAGAGAGGTCTTCCTTGTACCCAGTCTCAGTGTGGCCATAAATGAGTTGAATGAGTTCCGGGAATTTGCTTTGTCTAGTCTTTGTAAGTGTTCTAGAAAGGATGGCATCAAGTCTCCAGCTTGTATCAGGTAGAGTTACTGATGTGCGTCTCCACTCTGTTCCTCCCTTGCAGGAATCAGTGATGCCCCAGTTACCAGCAAGGTAAGGAGGCTCTTCCTGGGGGCTGGAGAGGAGAGGGGAGGTCCCTCAAACCTGCCTTCGTGAAGGCAGCGCCACCCAGGGGAGGTTGGAGGGTGACAGCATAGCCTGGTGGCTCCTGTGGCCTCGGAGGTCCAAAGCCTCTTCCTCACTTCCGCTGTCTCGCTTGAACCCCTGGAGGGAGCCGTGTTTTTGCTCTCCTTCTATCCCTGCCCTCTTCCGTTGTATCCAGACTCTGGCTTCCCAAAGGTCTGCTCAGGAGTCACCCCCTCTCGCCCTTTCTCCACCTGCCTGAGGACACGTGCTTAGCCTGCTCTGCGGTAGCTTTAGGGTCAGGAGAGCTGGGCCCAGGTGTCGCCACGGCTCACACTCATTCACACGCTACCCTTACTTTCGCCATTCCTGGTTCGGCAGGTTGCAGGGCAGAATTGCTGTCCGGAAAAGACGAACCCCACCAGCAGTGCGCTGCCAGCTGGTGGCGCTCAGAGCCCTTCTGCAGAAAGGAACCTGCTGGACCTCCTGTCCCCACAGCCGCCTCCGGGATCTCTGTGAGTCTGTGGCAAGGAGCCGGGAAGAGTTGCTCCTGCGTGCAGGTGGCCGGGCCTTTACTCCCCATCCATGCCGAGTCAGGAGAACACGCGTTTTGGCCAGGACCTCTGGAAAGGGGTTTCGGGAGTAACATCAGCAGTAGCTAATGATGATGGTTTTGGTCTTTATAGGTTGGTTCTGTTTTCCCGATTTCACTGTAGTTTGAAGCAATGTTTGATCACTAGAGAAATAGATCATATAGACAGTCCTGAATACCATACTCTAAAGATGAGGTTGAATGCTCCTTCTTTGTTTTTTCCTGCACATATAATATGTGGCTTGTTTTACACAAGTGAGGTTATAGTTTACAGATTATACTATGCTATGGGTTGTTTTTCTTTTAACTTTTTAAAAATAATTTCATTTTTAGCTGTGCTGGGTCTTCATTGCCGCTCTGGCTTTTTTCTAGTGGTGGTGGCCTCTCTTATTGCAGAGCACTGGCCCTGGGGCAGGAAGGCAGGTGGATTCTTTACCACTGAGCCGCGAGGGAAGCCGCACTGTGGTTTTTTATATCACACACTTTCGATACATTTTCATCAGTTTATGTAAACTTGCCTCATTCTGATAGTTGAATAATAATTCATATACATATAGTGTATACTTAGTCATTTCCCTCTTGCGGATATTTACATAATTTCCAGTGTGGAGGCACCTGTGGGGTTTCTGTAGTACAGATTTATATACACAGAGGTGCTCTAAGGCGTGAACGTATACACGTTTTCATAGATCTTGTCCCTTTGCCTCTGGCAAGGCTGGAGCGCTTTGCCTTCCCCAAACAGCCTAAGAGCCCGTGTCCCTGGTGGAGCCCACCAAGTTGGGTGGAGGTGGAACTGTGCCGGGAGGTCATTCTTGTCTGTATCTAGCGGCTTTCTTCCTAGTTTGCTGTTTATAACTGCTTGACATTTTAATTTTGGTGGGTTACTTCTTTCTAGACTTAGGTTTTCCAAAAGTGTTTTTGATTTGTGTTCCAAAGGGACAAAATCATGAAATATGAATGATGTGGCCAGTGTAATTTGTGCTCTCATCTGCCTAGCTTAGGTCACTCTGGTGATCATGTATGGGAAACGTCATCTCACAGAGCTACTTGTTATCAGGGACTGCCTGACAACATTAACTAGTTTATTGGGTTCTTATTGTGTGCGCTCAGATACACTTCATATGCTTTCTCATTTAATTCTTATTATAGCCCTATGAGGTAAACATTAAAATGTCTCCATTTTGCAGATAAGAAAACTGAGGCATGGGTTAGATTACTTTTCTAAACTCATATACCCTGAAAATATGTACATACACACATAGGCACACGCATTTATATTTATTTTTTCCCTTGTTCTTTAGAAAGCCTAATCAGATTCCCAGAATTCTCTACAGTTTTTCCAGTCTTATTATTTCTTTGCAGGAATTATATTCCACAGAAAAGTATCCCCAAGGAAGTACCACCAGGTACCAAGTCCTCTCCAGGTTGGTCCTGGGAGGCCGGCCCGTTGGCTCCTTCCCCATCTTCCCAGAACACTCCTCTGGCTCAACTGTTTGTCCCTTTGGAGTCTGTTAAGCCCAGTAAGTACAGTTTCACTCTTTTCTTCCCTCTCTGTTAGACACCCAGCTTTATCCACTCTGGACTGATGGGAGTGGCTCTTAAACTAGGGAAAGTGCATGAGGGCTTAAACTGTTTTATATCCTGCTTTATTTACTGTTATAGGCCATAGCACTGTTTCATGCCCTTAATCTTCAAAATCTTGTCTCCGGGCAAAGGATAAGGCAGGTGGTTTCATGGTCTCTTTGCTGTTATTTTTCTTGGTTTTCTGTCATGGGGTTGACTCTGAAGCACATTGGCAGGCAGAATTTAATTAGGGATCTTGAGTCCACATAGGGGTGTGATCTTCATTTGGAATTCAGGAAGGGAATGTTCAGTGTCACCTGAGATAAATAGGGAGAGCTGGAATTAGAAGGAAAGGAAGAATTTGACTGGTGAGCATCTTCCTCTAAGGATGCTCATTAAAGCAGGAGACGTAGATATTAACCTCCCTTACTACAAAGGGAAGGAGACTGAAGGCCCAGCTAAGTAAGGTGACTCCCTGTGGTCAGCACCCTGATACGTGAGCAGGAAACAGCTCAGATCTTCAGGTCTAGGGCCTGGGCCTCTTCCTTGGGTGCAGAGCCCCCTTGTGGCTCAGTATGGTGAGCTCGGATTACAGAAGACCTTGGAGCCAGGCGGAAGTTAAGTCAGCAAGCAGTGGGGGCCCTTTGTATCCTTAATTTTTATTTTAAACATAATAAATGTTCAGTGTTAATTTCCTAGTTTTGGTCATTGTGCGGTGGTTATATATAATGTTAATATTTGAAAAAGCTCGGTGAAAGGTATATGGAAATTCTTTTATTTTTTGTAAGTTTTTTAAAAAGTAATTTTTATTGGATTATAGTGGAGTATAGTTGATTTACAGTGTTGTATTAATTTCTGCTATACAGCAAAATGGATCAGATTTATATGGCTCCATTCTTTCTTAGATTCTTTCCCCATCTACCCTTTTTATAAATCTAAAATTATTAAAAAAAAACAAAAAAATGTTCAGTATAGTTTTAGAAAAAATAGAAGAGAACAGAAAATTAAAATCATCTGTATCATTACCACCCAGAGATGGAAGTTTTGTTAATATCTTGATGTATTTTATTGTCTTATCCATGTACATATATTTTAAAAATTGGTACCATAGTATATATACTATTTTATATCCTGCTTTATTTACTGTTATAAACCACAGCATTGTTTTATGCCCTGATTCTTCAAAACCTTGATTTTTTTAAAAAATAAATTCATACTTGTGCCACTAACAGATGTATTGTAACTCATTTATTCAATTTCTTTCTGAAGGATAATTTGTTTCCAGTTGTTTACTGTTGTAAACAGCATTACAGTGAACATCTCATTGCAATAACTGGAGACCCATTTTTAAAACTTTCCTGATTATTTCATTAGGAAATATACTTAAAAGAGGAAATGCTGGGTGTAGACATTTAAAATTTTGACCTTCACTACCAAGTTGCCTTCTAGAAAGGTTGCCTTTTGCTCATAACCTCACCACCATACCTCATGAATATTTTCAGTCTTTTAAATCTTTGGCAGTTTCATTGTTAAAGTGTATTTTTATAATGTGCATTTTGATAAGTGATATTTGGCATGAGATAAGGATCTTCATGAAATTTTTTACCAGATGGTTAGCTATTTGTCTACCACTTACTGAATTAGCCAATGATTTTCAAAAATACTTTCTCGACATGTTAAATTCTCAGGTTTGGGTCTGTTTTACTTGCTGTTTTGAGTTGCAGTTTTGTCCATATTTGAGTATTTGTTCATGCAGATAGCCCTACTCCCCCTCCTTTCTTATAGTTAGTCTCATGTATCTTTTTCCCCCCAAATTAACTTTGAAATTATTTCTTAGCTAAATTAGGACAATCCCTTTCATATTTCCAAGACCTGATTAATTTGAAAAGCTCTGCTGTCTTTACTGCTTTCTCAGATTAAATGTAAGAGATGTGTATGTGTATATTGTCATACAAAAAAGACCAGAAGGATATAGGCCCAGATGTTTGTGGTGCTTATTGCTGGGGAGCAGTAAAGGTTTTCTGTTTCATCCTTTATGATATCCTGTGTTTTTTGTGGTGTTCACACATTATTTTTTAATATTTATTTACTTGGCTCTTCTGGATCTTAGTTGTGGCATGTGGGATCGTTTTTATTTTGTTTGAGTTGCATCATATGAGATCTAGATCTCTGACTAGGCATCGAACCCCTACCTCCCCCATTGGGAGCATGGACTCTTAGCCACTGGACCACCAGGGAAGTCCCCATATGTTATTTTAATCATAATCATTTCTTGCTCAAAAAAAAGTTATTTAAAAAAAATTTTTTTTAAACTGGTAATGAATGGATGGTTGGATGGTGGGGAGAGATCAATTTGGACTGTCACAGGAGTCCACTGGAGCTAATGAGGACTTGGGTTATGGTGGTGCAGAGGGTTGAGCCCAAGAGCTGTTCGGAGTGGCAAAGAGGAGGACTTGGTGACAGGCGCACATCTCTTTCAAGCGTGGCTGCTCTTCCGGGGGAGGTGGTAGTAGCACTAATCCTCTTGGTTGGGTCCTTCTCTGCCAGGCAGCCTGCCTCCTCTTATCGTGTATGACCGGAATGGATTCAGAATTCTGCTCCACTTTTCTCAGACTGGAGCCCCCGGCCACCCGGAGGTGCAGGTGCTCCTGCTGACCATGATGAGCACCGCCACCCAGCCTGTCTGGGACATCATGTTTCAAGTGGCTGTGCCAAAGGTGAGTCAGCGGCGGGCCCGCTCCCTGAACTTCTTCAATAAAGGCTGTCGTTTTTGAGCATCAGGTCCTTTGTGGGAACGTTATCTACGAGATGGAAAGGCCAGAATCTTCCCTTAAAGTAGATTAAGATAAAACGGGAATTTTGTTGGCTTAGTTGACTGGGAGTTCCGGAATGTGTGCCTTCACAGATGGCTGGGTTCGGGTAGGCCCATAAACAGTTCCTGAAGAGTCTGTCACTTTCCATCTCCTGACTTTGTTTTTCCCTTCTGGAGCCTGTTCTCTCACAGACTGTCTCTGCAAAGCAGCAAAATGGCCTCCAGCAGCTCCAAGAGTTACATGGGCCTTAACTGTTTTTTATCTCAAAATAAACTGCCTGCTGACAGGAGGCATACATATAGATTACCCAAGAAAGGGCTGGGACTGGCCTTGGTGTTAACTGGTATACCTTGGGCCAGTAGCTCATGTTCAGGGATGTGAGGTACTCTGGCCAAGTCGGATATTACATCCCTTTCTCAAGGGAAGTCAGTCCCCACAGGTTAACAGCCAGACTAGAATCACAAGAAATGGGCAAGGGGCCTGTTCTGAAAGGAACGATTCAAGGCAGACAAAAATAAAACGGTGCATTTTTTTTAAGGTTTATTTATTTTTATTTTATTATTATTTTTTAATTTATTTATGGCTGCGCTGGGTCTTTGTTGCTCCACATGGGCCTTCTCCAGTTGTGACAAGTGGGGACTATTCTCTCTTTTTTTTAAACTTTTTATTTTGTATTGGGGTATAGCAGCTTAATGTTGTGATAGTTTTAGGTGAACAGTGAAGGGACTCAACCATACATACGCATGTGTATATTCTCCTCTAAACTGCCCTTCCATCCAGGCTGGCAGGGTCTACTCCAGCCGCAGTGTTTGGGCTTCTCATTACTGTGGCTTCTCTCTGTCGTGGAGCACTAGGCTGCAAGTTGCATGGGCTTCAGTAGTTGCAGCTTGTGGACTCTGGAGCACTTTGGCTGTGCTGGGTTTTCTTTGCTGTGTGACGGCTTTTCTCTAGTTGCAGAGAGCAGGGACTACTCTCTAGTTGCAGTGTTTGGGCTTCTCATTACTGTGGCTTCTCTGGTTGCGGAGCAGGGGCTCCAGCACTGGCTCAGTACTTGTGGCACATGGGCTTAGTTGTTCCCTGCATTGGCACTGCGATGGCAGGTGGGTTCTTTACCATTCAGCCCCCAGGGATGCACTTTCTAATATTCATGGTAATTTTGTAGGGCATGGACTCATTACCTCTGTCTTACAAATTATCAGTCCAGGGTTCAGAAAGGCTAAGTATTTTGTCCAGAATCACAGAGCTAGTGAGAGGCAGAGTTAGAATTCAGTGCAGGATGTGCTGTCTTTCTTCATGCTGCCTCTCAGAAGCTGACCTTTGACCACACAACTACAGATACATGTTCTGTATGGATGGGGCAGAAGGGTTTTCTGGATTCTTTCAGCCATTGGTGGGGTGGAGGCCAAGCTCTCCCTCATTAAAGCTGTAGTTTGTTAGGAATGAGTTATATGTTGGGTTTCTCCCCCCGATAGTCAATGAGAGTGAAACTGCAGCCGGCGTCCAGCTCTAAGCTTCCTGCTTTCAGTCCTTTGACACCTCCAGCTGTGATCTCTCAGATGCTGCTGCTGGACAATCCACACAAAGTACGTGCTGGTATCTGTGCTAGCAGGGAAATGGGGGCCCCTGAACTCCAGGCAGGCAGCCTGGCAGGTGGAGGGAACTATATCGATGTGTTAGTTTGGTTGGGATGCTGGTGGATTGTCCCTTGCTGGAATTCGTTTTCCTTTGGGACTGATTGGAAGATCTGTGACCAGATTGTCATAACTGTGGACCAAGGAAGTGGTCCACACATTCCATAGCTCCAAGGAATCCTCTGGAAAGGTGAGGCCAGCCTGTCGTCTTGGCTGATCTCCACCTCAGGGCTGCCTAAGTGGGGGGGCTGGCTCCCTCTGTGTTTGTAGTCCCAGAGGGTCGAGGCCAGGGTATGCCTGTGCATACCTCACTTGGGTGGAATTAACATACACTACTGTTACTTGTTGACTACTGGGTGGGTAAAGGCTTTGACTCTGGGCCCATCTCTCTGTCACTCCCCACTAATTTGAGGTCTTTTATCTTTGCCCAGGAGCCCATCCGGTTACGGTATAAGCTGACATTCAATCAAGGTGGACAGCCTTTCAGCGAAGTAGGAGAAGTGAAAGACTTTCCTGACCTGGCAGTCCTGGGTGCAGCCTGACACCTCCTAGGACAGATCCTGCCATTCAAGCTTAGGCCAATGTTCCTTTTGCTGTCTAGATAGGACTGATCATGGTGATTTAGTGCAGAGTGCCAAGAGTTCTGTCCTGACATCAGGCTCTGGATGCCAGCCTCTGACTTATTCTGCAGGTGTGTGTGTGTGTGTGTGTGTGTGTGTGTGTATGTATGTATGTATGTGTGTGTGTGTTGCCAGGGGGCTGAGAGGGAGGGATGAAGGCAGTGTGGGAAATGCTAAAACATTTCTGATAACCATCTGCTACGGTCATGTCTGGTTTTGCATGTTGGTGGACACTGATGTCCCTGCCTCAGGTTGGAGGTTTTATAAGCCAAAGTTGTCACTGTTGTTTTCCATGTATTATTACCTTTTCATTCATCCACTCTGTGCCTTGTCAGCCTCTGAAAGTCTTGGTTGCTCCCAGGCTGCTGTTCTCAGGGACCCATAAGGGACCTGGTTGGTTCTTGGGGCAGAGTGTCTTCTGGGATGCTCTCTTCCAAGAAGGACCTTGTCTCCATTTCCATTAGCAAATGCTGCTTGCATGTGTCCAGGAAGATCTTCTGAATGGAATGCTTGTTGCACTGTGTCCTAGGCAAGGGGTTGCCACTGGACCAGAGGACCGCACTTGGTGGGCCAGTCATGTCCTTTACCACTGTGCCTTAGAATCGCCCATAGATGGACCCTTCAGGGCAGAAGGGAAAGCAGATCCCAGGCCTTATTTAGGCCTCAGGTTCCATGGGCTGGGCAGCCTGTCTGGACCCTTCCTCAGGACCCTCATCTCCATCCTCGCCCTCTTTCTCTGCAACCATTTCCCCAGAACTCTGATGGTGGCACCATGCCAGTCGTTGTAAGTCATGACTGACAGGTTCACCCTGGCCTGTTGACTTCACAATCCACAGTGAAGAACTGTGATGCAAATGAGATACGAAAAGAGTTTAGCAATGATTCAAGTGCTGACTAAATCTAGGAAGTCATTATTGAATAAATACCTGTGTAACAAATATACTTTGTGGAGTTTTGAGTAAGTAGGAGATGCAATGCCCGTTGCATTTGGAGATGATAGGCTTGAAGGGATCACTTGTCTATTGAAGTGAGGAAGACTTCCTGAGGAGTGTGCAACCTTAAGAACTCTTTCAGGGAAGAGAAGCCCTGAAGATCTGAATGAAGCTGAAAGAGATGGATTTTTGTTAGAGTCGTGGTGTGAAGGAAAAATTCAGGCTTGTAAAATTCACCTACCAGGTGCTAAGCATTTGTGCATATTTTCCAAGTCCTGCTTGGCCTGATGAGTGAAGAAAGCTAAGCGTGGCTGAGATGGCCTGGTGTAGGATGTGAGATCTGAGCAGCTTATCTGTCTGGACAGGATTCCACCTCAGAAAATGCATGGCTTCTGGATGGCTCTTGATCACAAAATTGGGTACTTTGTAGTCTGATCTTTTACTTCCTACATATAACTGGAAATCTGCCAAGACTATGTTGCAGACGGGAGCTGTTAAAAAAAAAAAATCAAGGTATGCTTGATGTAAAAACTCAAAACAGGTAAGTGATGGGGTGATTTCTTCATTTGGCATAACCCATAAGATTCAGATATTCTTTAGAGCCTTCATAGGCTCAAATTTTCTCATAAAGTCTTCTAGAGTGCCTGTTGTAAAGACGATGCCTGTCTGTGAAGAACTTCCATCCAGAATGGGTAAATGAGACTGACACATGAAGACCTTTATCCCATGGACAAAAGGTAGAGTCACTGTGTGTGAACATCTGTTGTCTAGCAGACAGCTTGCCCGTGGTTCTCTGCTTGGGTAGAGTTGGACAGGGCAAGGGGGTGGGGGGTGGGTGTCCTGAAAGTGGCCAGCAGTGCCTTCTAATTCCGAAGTTCAGTGACCACTTAAGATGCAGTCCTTATTCTTTATTCATTCAACTGGTAGTTGACTAGCTGCTGTGAGCCAGGCACATTGTAGGCGCTGCAGACAAAGCAGTGAAACAAGATCCCGGCCCTTGGGCGTCTTCTGTTCTAATGGGAGCTCCATCGTGTGTCTGGTGGCAGTTTGGCACTGATGACCCCAAATTTTCCCCTCTCCTGAACACCTCCTCCCAGGATCCTGCTCATCCCTGTCTCTCGGCCTACCTCCAGTGGTTCCTTTTCGTCTTTCCTTTCAATGTGATTCCGGAGGATTTAGTCCTGAGGGCTCTTCTAAGCGTTCTGGGCAGTTCAGCTCTAGGTGGGTGGTAGACTTCTTGCTGACGTCAGGTCGTATTTCAAGCCGCCTGCTGGATGTCTTTATCTGGAGGTTCCCACTGTTGCCTCCCAGTGCTTAAAACGGAACCCAGCGGCCTCCCTCTCGTTCTGTTCATTTATTTGAAAGCACCTTTCTAAGCCCTCATGGATCCTTGATTCCTGCTTCATCTCCATCCCCTCAGTACTGTTTTCTCATCTAGTCTGTTTCTTTTTTAAAAAATTTGTTTGGCCATACCATATAGTATGCAGGATCTTAGTTCCCTGACCAGGGATCAAACGTGTGCCCAGTGCATTGGAGGGTAAAGTCTTAACCACTGGACCATCAGGGAGGTCCCCTCATCTAGTCTATTTCTAAACAGTACCACATTTTGGCCTCCCCGCTACATTGTCACTGCCTTGGTTTAGGTTTTTTTTTTTGGACAGTGCATTATGCCTCTCAGTTCTCTGAGCCATTATAGTTGGCCACCATCAGATTTCTGATCTGGGTACCTGATCCCTGCTGAAAAATTCCAAATGGGCTGTTAATGCTCTATAAAAGTGTATGCAGCTGAATTCAAGTTGCTTACTTGCGACGTTCAGTGCCCTTCTGTGACTGTGTACTTCCTACCCTGCTGGCATCATCTGTCAAGAATGGAGCACACTTTGCCAGAGCCGTAAGAAAGCCCCTTCATAATGCCATGTTTTCTCATAATCTGACTACCACCTGCAGTTAACTCCTTTTATCTCCAATGAATTTAAGTTTGGGCTAAAATGCCCCTCCATCTGCAAGCCACTCTTGGAGGGTAGATGGGCAGTGGAGATAGTAAAGGTTGAAAGAAGGATAAAAAACTTAAGACCAAACACATGAATACTACACATTAAAAATGAGATAGTGTAGATTGAGAGATCAAACATGAAAGGTTGAAAGCAAAGGTGATATTCTCATACAAATAGTGTTTACCCAAATGTTTATAAATCACAAATTCTTTAAATATATCTAATACAGAAGGTGCTTAGTCAACTCCAAAATATAAAATTCTGTCAACTAGTTTGTTTGGTTTTTACACTAAGAACACATACACTAGAGTGCTGGCCAGGGTTGGTTTTGTATTTTTTAAGAGGTAACACCTGACCTCTCACTGGGAAGAAGCGGAGTCAAGTAGATGAAGTAGGATGAGCCTGAAGTCCAGAGAGCTTGCCACACGTTTAATTTCAGCTGGCATGAAAATCTCCAGGCCTTTCTGCCCCTTGCCCAATGCATTTCCAGGTATACCATGTTCCCTCTGAGAATGCTTGCATCTAAAATTGTGTAAACATTCTGCTTCTTTGACTTTTATTCTTGAATACATTATTTCATGTCTAGAGGTAATACTTTTCATACTGTTGAAAATACATAAATTACAAAGTATATACATATTGAAAATACATACATACATTGAAAATACATAACAAACATGCTGCATGGTGGCATGCTGCAGTCCATGGAGTCGCAAAGAATCAGACACAACTGAGTGAACTAAACTGAGGGGTAATACTATTATTTTAGAAGTTGAAAACCTACTACAGTGTTAGGGCTCCAGATTACATACGTTTAAAGACAGTTTGAAGTAATTAAATCAACCTTTAGTTGTAATTCTATTCTTCAGCATCACTTAGTGCCTCTAGCCGTGTGACCTGGGACAAGTAATTTGTCCTCTTCCGCTTCCTTCCCTGTAAAGAACATAACAGGATTGTTTTGAGAAGTGAGTTGTTATATATGAAGTGACTCCAATCCTGCATAGTACTAAGCTAAGACTCATTTCATTTATGTTTGTCCATTTGGTTTCCAGTACATGAATAGACTTGACTTACTCATAACTTTTTTTGTCATTGCACCATGGCACATGGGATCTTAGTTCCCTAACACAGGATCTTAGCTCCCTAACCAGGGATTGAACCTGAGCCCCCTGCAGTGGAAGCTTGGAGTCTCAACTACTGGACTGCCAGTGAAGTCCCCGTAACTGAAATTTACTCATTAAATAAATGTAAGCAAATATTTAAAATTTTGGCCGGGTTCAAATTAATACTGAGATGCATTAAATGTCAAGGATAGAAAGATAAAAATATTGAAACCACACACCTAAATCTCGTCAAAAGCAGAAAACCATAACAATATGCTCAAAAACTAATGAACACACTTCCTATAAAATATTCAGTTAAATTTTGTAAACAAGGCTATGTAATTCTAAAATTTACAACCCTAAGACTCACAGACTTAGAACAAAGTTATGATTGCAGGGTAGGGGGTATGGGGGAAGGGACAGTTGGGGAGTTAAAGATGGACATGTACACTTAAACAAAATTCCTTGAGCTGTGCCTCATAAATTGTGCATGTTTCAATAAAAATATCAAAAATGAGAGAAAATGAAAAATAAAATTTATAATCCTGTCTCCAAAATCTGAAATAGATAACTGTTATTAGTTTATTCTTGTTTTTTGGATGCATAACCAAAATATTAACTTTAAATCTAGTGGTATATTTAAAGAATACACTGTGTAGAGCTTTTGGGAATGCAGTTAGCCACATTAATAACGCAAATGGACTATGATCATCTGAATAGATGATCTGAATAGAACAATCATTCATTGTTTATTCCTAATAGAATGAAACTACTAACATCATGTTTAATAAGGAAATGACTACAGTGGCTTAAACACAGAGGCTTGTTTTCTTATTTAAAAGCAAGTCGGAGGGCTTCCCTGGTGGTCCAGTGGTTAAGAATCCTCCTTGCAATGCAAGGGACACCAGATTGATCCCTGGTCTAGGAGGATCCTACATGCCTTGCAGCAACTAAGCCGGTGAGCTGCAACCCACATGCTGGGGGGCTGTTGCTAAGCTAAGAGCCAGGATATGTAGGAGTTTCTGCTGCAAAAACAAAAACACCCCTCACCTCCATGTACATCAAGAGATTACTTCTGATCACAAAAGCAGACATCTCAAGTCTATGATTTTAGTGCTTTTCTATGTATGGGAAAGGTGCTGGAGTCTGGACTCTGAAATAATTCCTGATACACATCTTAAGTATTGAGGGCCAGTACCGTGTTTTGTTTTTTCAATTCAGAATTCCCCTCAGGGTACACCATAGGAGCAGCTGCAGTGGTTGATGGCTTTATCACTGCAACATCGTTTGTTTATGGAAGGTTCTTCACAATATAGCCTCATCCAATCTTGGCCTCAATGGAATCTCAGTTTCCCTTTTTGGAAAATAGAAATAGTACCTGACTTAACTCCCAAGGCTGTGAGGATTAAAATGGAAGTGTGAGGGAAAGCAAGTATTGTCTGTAATCGTCTGTAAACATATATGGAATCGAAGGGCTCTGTCCTTCACACGGATACGTGGGTCCTATGCTCTAGCCGATCTGGACTCTTCCCTGACCTGTGACTTTGTCTAGTAGAAAAGGAGAGGTTTGCACACATCTGAGCTCTGAGGAGGAAGTCACTTGTCTCTTTGAGCAAACCTGGTTTATGCCTGTGATCCAGACATGGAGCTGCGCCTTGATTCTGATCACTGGGCATTTTCCTCATAACGGGTTCTTTTTCAGCCGTTTCCTTCTGTTGAGTGTCTGTGCTGTTCTCCTGGGACAGACTCAACAATATTATACCCCCAGCAGGGGCTATTCTGGTTTGTACCATGTTATATGCTAAAATACCCCTACATGGGGTAGCAAGGAAATGTATTAACCAAATTTAAGAACCCAGAGGCATACCTAGGGCTGGTATGACTGTCCCAGATTTTATCCTCTCCTTCC